TTAGGTTTCCCTTGTGATTTAGAATTCTTGCCATTAAAGTTCTTTCTTTTGTTGTCCTTCACAAAATGAGCAGATTCACCTTGTGAGGACTTTATTCTCTCCTCTTCTTGAACACACATTGAGATGAGTCTTTCTATGCCCCATCTTTCAGGCTGCATATTATAGTTCATAATGAAGGTGTCATATTCTTTTGGCAAAGAAGCAAAAATCAAATGAATCAGGAAATCCTCCTCCTTCAAATTCATTTCTTTTAGCTTGGATGCCGTAGTGTTCATCTTCAAAATGTGCTCTCTTATGCTACCACCAGTGAATTTCTCATTCACAAGCTTCTTAATCAGTGAACTTGCTGTGGCCTTGGTAGACCCAGTAAACTGACTCTTGATTTTCTCAAGATATTCTTTGGCAGTAGCACATTCAGGGATTGAGCCCCTTATCTGTTCTTCTATGGTGGCTTTGGCTACCAATAGACACTTGCGGTTGGAGAGAGTCCATTGCCTATGTTCAAGGTCATATTTCATTCTTATTTCAAAGATGATCACGCTTTCGAAAGCAAATGAAATCATTGCGTCGATTTCATTGTCACCTCTCACCGGGTCCTCTGGCTCAGTAGGACACGGTGAGGTGATGACAAAATCGACCTCTCCCAACGCAAGTTCCAATTCATACTTCTCCCGCCACACACGGTGATTGGTTCCGTTGAGTGTCGGGATGTTGGCAATATTCACAATGCATTTACCTCCTGAAATCACACCAAAGTAAGTAAGAAATATTTATACATAAAATTCCATGCTTTAACTCAACGTTGGTCAAATTAAAACTTATTATTCATCCATGCAAACATTTTACATCACCGTTAGGTAAGTAAAATTAATGCACAATTTCTCATGGATCAAAAATTATAATATTGTTATTAACAACGTTGGTGGAAAATAACAATATCATAATCGCATCAAAATTATCGAATTCATTTCTCTTAAAATTAAATTATCCCGTTGGTTCAAATTTAATCAAAGAGAACAATAATTATCATGCACAAATGAAACATTAATAATCTTTTCATATTATTATTTTCCGGAAACACTAAAATTCACATTGCTTTACGAGCAAAATATCGTTGGATAAAATTTGCACGAAAAATTGTGTCAAAATCATTCAAATTCATCAAAATATGCATTTAAAATTGTTTCTGGAAAATAATAAGAAAAATTTTCTTGTTCTTCTTTTCATTTTCAGCCCAAATTGTGACCCAAAGACGCTGCTTGAACTGAACCATTTCAGCCCGATCCTCATGCTGCAGCCAGCCGCACCTGTGCCGCACACTTCCTGGGCTGGCGGCAAAAGCGCCCACTGCTTCGCTCCCGCTGGGCCTCGACTTGGCCCAACAGATCTCGAAGGTCCGTCTTGATCCGACGGCGAAGGGCGTCGTTTCATGCGGTCAAAACCACCGCCATGGGTGCCACCTGAAAACCCTAGCGCATTCGCCCCTGCTCTCTCTCTCTTCTTCTTCGCAGCTCTCTCTTCTTCTTCAAATTGTAATAATAGCCCGCAACCGAGCGCGAGCGACGACGAAGCGAAGCGGGCCTTTTTGCGCTGTCATGCCCCCTGGCGGTGCGTGCGTCCCTAACGGGTGAGCACGCCGCCCGTCAGCCCCCTGGCAACATGGCGCTTCCTTGGCCGAGCCTCAAGCCCCCGGCTTTCTTCTCTTCTCCCTGCCGCGAAAAAACCGGTTCGGCTTTTCTTCTTCTTCTTCCGCGGTGGAGGTTCATCAAGACGAACCCTAGCCCTACCCCTTCTTTCCCTTTCTTTCTTTGAGTTGTTCTTTTCAGGTTTGTCCGAATGGGGAAAACTAGGGTTAGGGTTAGGGTTGGTTCTAGCCGATTTGTTTTCTTTGCCTTTTATTTCTTTCTTTTCGTTCATCCGAATGGAAAAAAATTGGGATTAGGGTTAGGGTTCGACCCTTCTTCTTTCTTCTTCCCCTTTTCCCCTCTTTCGGATTTGCGTCTAGGGTTTTTGGAATCCGACCCTCCCTTTTCCCCTTCTTCAATCCCTTGTTCAGTTTTGATTTTGGGAATTAGGGTTAGGTCTTAGGGCTCGGTTTTCTACTTTCTTTCTCGATCCGCATCTGATTTCTTGACGAACCGTGGCTCTGGTACCATTGTTAGATTAGATGTTCTAAGATATGTTCATCGGATCGGGATACTTAGCATAGGAATAGAATAGGTGTTCGGGATTTACATGAGAGGCAGAGAGAAGGGGAGTGAGATGTAGCAAACCATCGAAAGCCGTAGTGGTCGAAGCTCCGGCCGGGGTGTCGTTGACGGACGCCATCTGCGCGTCGGCAGCGACGGTCGGTGGAGCGGGAGTGGCGCTGTGGCGTCCTCGGCGGCGGCGTGAGCTTCGGGTGGCGTTGCTGGTGTCGGTGGTACTTCCCGTCGCTGGCAGCGCCCCTACTTTCGATCGGGTTTAGGGTTAGGATGTCGGTGGGGTGACTGGCGGCACGGTGAACCTCGTACTGCGAGCCCCGGCCCCCACCTTTCCTTTATAGCGCTGTGCGACGGGGGCCCACCAACCATGTAGGGTTGGGCGCCCCCGATCAGGGCGCGAGGACAAGGCCCTGGGAGATCAATCCTAACACCATGAAGTTGTCGTGGATAGATCTTCCCCGGATGAAGGCGCTTTGGTTATTCCTGATCAGTGCAGAGAGGTGCGGTGCCAGTCGAGTGGCCAGCGCCTTGGCGACAAGCTTTCCGACGCTGTGCATCAAGCTGATGGGCCGGTAATCCTAGGCGGGAAGGCGCAGCAGTTTTCCGGAGCAGCGCCATGTTTGCTGTGTTGAGCAGCTGAAAGCTCCTACGGTCAAGCGCCCAGAATGAGTTGAAGACCGCGACCACGTCATCCTTTTATGATATCCCATGCTGCCTTGTAGAAACGACCAGTAAAGCCATCTGGCCCCGGAGCCCGGTCATTCGGGATCTCCCTGATGACGGCCCAGACCTCGTCGACGGTAAACTCAGCGGCGAGCTCGCTGAGGTCTAGCTGAGGCATGCCAATTTGCGCTAGGCTGATGTTCCTCGTGCGCGAAAAGTAAGTGCCGAGGATGTTATTGAAGTACTCATAGATCGCGTCGGCTTTGGCCTCCTCATCAGTGAACGAAAGCCCAGCATGTTCAAATGTCCTGGACAGCGACGCAAGGCCAAGGATTGTGCGTTTAAGCTCCCGGCGCAACTCTAGCTCATCATCCGATAGTGTTCTGGACTCCTGAGCAACGTCCAACTCGCCCACAATCAGCCTGGCCATGGTGAGCTGAGAGCGCACACTCCCAATGGATTTGGTGTTCCGAAGTTTGAAGTCGAGTAGCCTGCAGGCGTCGGCGTTATGCATGCCGACCGCCCAAGCCGAAGAAACGACTTCACTGAAGCCATCCATAGTTGTCCAGAAGGATTCAAACCGAAACTGCGGCTTTGCCCAAGGCAGGGCGTTGAGACGTAGCGACAGGGGCGCATAGTCCGAGCAATCCGTGGAGAGGTAGTGGTTGCTAAAGGTGTCAAGCCAGCCGGACGTGGCTAGGACACGATCCAGCCGTTCCAAAGTCGGCCGGCGGCGCTCATTCGACCATGTGTAGAGGCGTCCGTGGAGATGCACCTCCGCAAGCTGCAGATCGTCGATGACACGGCGGAACCTCCGCATCCAGCTACGGTGTAGAGCGCCAGTAGGCAGCCTGTTCCCATTATCTCGTTAATCCATGCGACAGGGAAGCTCTGAACCTTCGTTTCCAGAAGGCAGAGGAGCGACAATCGTTCAGAGACGACGACATTGCGGACAACCGAGCGACGAGCTCTCAGTTGAGACCGCGTACATTCCAGCACAGTAGTTTTTCTTGGTCCATGAGAACAAGTTTGCGACCCGAACCGCCTTCGTCCTGGGAACAACTCCCGCATTGGCTTGTCCTTAACTAGTGAAAAAGTCGGTAAATACATGATAAGGTTTTTAAATCATAGAAAAATGTTATGGGCTTTTGAAAATTCTAAAGAAAAAAATCTAGAGATAGAATGGGATATGAAAATCCAAATAAAAGAGCTTGTGACTACATATTTAGAAAATTAAAAAAAAAAGTTTTAGCTCGACGAAAATAGAAAAATATCCAGTAGTAAAAAAATTTCCAAAACATTCTAATTCATGTATAAGCATGTTGGTGTTATGCGTATTAAGTGTTACTTATGTATTACATATTTTGCTGTGATTTTTTAAAAAAAACATGTTTACATATAAATTAGAATGTTTTGTGATTTTTTAGATTTTAGACTTTTTTTGTGGTTTAAAACATTAATGAGTATCTACCGAGTTTTTGTAACTAAAGAGGACAAACCGCCTTTAAAACCATTCTAAACCAGGTAGGGGTAATTTGAATGGTTTTAAAATTTAGGGAGTAAAATCAGACTACGACGTCAATTCAGTCGGCAGAATAGACTTTTTCCATCAGTATATACCTATCATTCTCAGCTCCTCCAAAAGGATTTCACATTGTCATCCCAAATTGGAATATTCATTCATACATTCTCTTGTTTTTTGCTGAATATATATATGAGATGTAGTAAACAAACGGAGAAGCCAAGAGAGGATACATTTCATCTGCCCACCCAAGATACTTTGAAACAGATGATGCCAACTACCACTTCCACAAATAAGCATATACTACTAGCAATATCTAGTCTATCTATAACCGCACAGGCTTAAATTTCCCCTAATTGCAGGGCTCAATCCCGAATTTCCCCTAACCAATGCAACTGTCCAACCAACTAAATAACTAGTAATCCCAGCGACTCCATCTCTTCATCATCTCTCCCAGCCAGAGCTAGGGAAGTTTTGTAAGCCCTGGCCCTGCATCATCCATCCAAAAGAAATAAAGAACACAATTAAATTGAAGCATCCTCAGAACTCACAAGGTGCAAGTTTCAGAGACTGCAATTTCAGGCACCTTTAATTTTCCGCACGTCTTCAGCTCAGCTGGAAGCACAGGTCGGCTTGCGAGGGGGAAGCTGGTGATGGGGCGTCCTCTGCAAGCAACAAACATCTTGCTTTCACCACAATGCATGCAACTTGCATTGATAAAACGTGCAGTGCAGTGCAGCTGAGCTAAAATCACTGTAGGCTAGCTACTCACCTTTAGCTTTGGCTTCAAGGATTCGATAGCAGTAGCAGCCCGTGCGTTGCCGCTGTTTGCAGCTTGCTGAAGCAAAGCATTTCCATCAGAAAGCAAAGGTTTCATCAGTTCAGAGAACAGCTAGGTAGCATCTGTGCATGCTGTAGCCCATCTACGGGCCTGTAGCATACAAGAAACTTGCAGAGGCAGAGATGCTCATTTATTTATTCCTGGATGGATGAGAAGGATTTGGATACCTTGCCAAGGACCCAGTCCGCAGAATCGAAATAGGCGCGCTCCTGATCCTGCACAAGAAAACCACCAAATAAAAAAGAATCATCAGATGCTATACTACTGTAAGCAAATTCGTTCCATGCTCATCGGTGCTGCATGTTTAAGGTTGGTCAGCCCAGCAGTAGATAGTAATACCTTTGAAATCAGAGGCTTCTTAGGCACCATTCCACCATACTTCTTCTCAACGAAAGCCTGCACCTCAAAGTATATTGCTGTTAAGCGTTATGTGCAGTGCAGCAACCAGTAACGTATAAAATTGAACGCTAGCTAACAAAACCCACACCATATTCATATTCATATGGAATCCTGCATTTACACATTCTTATTACTTTCTTGATTGACACAAGGCTGCCTAATCATGAATGCAACAAGACAGTGCATGACCCAACAACGCAACTAACACAGGCAGGCAGGTTCATGAAAACAAGTCTACAACGTCTCCAAAAAAAAAAAACAAGTCTGCACTCAGTGAGAGCCCATCTTCTTCTTCTTCTTCTTCTTTTCCAGATACCATTCATTATTGTTTGCAGGCTGGGTGCACGTTTCGTGGCTACTCTCCTCTATTTTGCCAAGAAAAGTAGTTAGGCCTTGTTTAGATTGCCTCAAAATTCCAAGTTTTTTCACTCTTTTTTCATCACATCAATTTTTGGACGCATGCATAGAGCATTAAATGTAGGTAAAAAAAATAACTAATTACACAGTTTGGTTGTAAATCACGAGACGAATCTTTTGAGCCTAGTTAGTCCATGATCGGACAAAGTTTGTCAAATACAAACGAAACGTGCTACAGTATCCATATTGCAAAAATTTGCAATCTAAACAAGACCTACTAGAGCATGTCAAACATGCTACTGACCCGACGTCCGTCCGTGAACGAAGCTGTCGCTGACAAGGACAGGGTTTCAGAAACATTCAGACGAAATGTGCTCAAATCAAATGATTCAGGGCAGGGAAATGCTATTCACTGCCTGTGCACGATCCATGCAGATGGACCCCCAAAGATGAGAGATTCCAAAGCTTGTCTCGCTCTCATTGGTGAAAAAGAAGAAGGTTGGTATTGTTCTGGTCTGCAATGAACAGAATGCATGCGTTTGCCTTGGCCGGTTGGCCCACGGGTTTTGTTCTCAGAGCGTCGACCAGAAAAATTCAGCCAAGAGATTCTTCATATCATTTTCGTCTTTTAGTTTTCGGTGGATGTAAGGTTCAGTCCAGCGATTACTTTTCCAGCAAAAAAAGAAGAAGAAAAGGTTCGGTGAGTCACTGTGTAGTTAGCATTATTCAGCAGGAACACTCTCCTGTTGGAACTTGGAACAGAACAGACTATCCTATGAACTTGGTTTTTTTTTTTACTGAGAATTACTGAATCAGATAGCGGGATTATTAGTGCTTGAGATGTTCAGATACCAGTCTAACTGTCTAAGACGATCCACATTGCAGCCTGATCGAACACACAAAGAAACAGCAGCAGCAGCGAAAAAAGAGCAAATTTTCTTCTGGTTCTTGAATTTCCAAACATGGTGGATCAGTCAAGCAGGCAGAGAAAAACATGTGAACAAAAAGAGGCATCTATAGAGAAAATGAAAACGCGTGGTGGATCAGAAGAACGAAGCATCCATAAAACGATAGATCGCAATAAAGAACAAATAATACTCTCGATCGATCCATTTCAGCAAGCAAGTGCATAATGAGTTCAGATGAACACCATGGCGTGGCATGGTAGTAAGTAGAGCAGAGCAGGCACCTGTACCTCTTCTCCCGTGGCCACCGACGACGCCGATGAGTTGCTGTTGCCGTCGGCCATCTCTTCTTGCCGTCGTCGTCCTCCTCGGCTCTTGCTGCTCCACAACAAGAGAGCAATTAACACCGCTCCCAGGAAGAAGGAGAAGGAGAAATATCGAGGAGGGCACACAAAGTATGAAATGGAAGTAGAGAACATGTGCAGATAAAAGAAAGGAAGTGGATTGGATTTAGGTAGGTGAGGGAGAAGCTTGGCACGGCACGTACCACGTACACGTATGGATCAGTATGGAAGCCTGCAAGGGAAGGGAGGGACGGAGGAGGGAGACCAACAGATACGGGGATTGTGTGATATGTTGGCGTGTGCCATGGATATGGATTGGAGCTCTCATATATATAGAGAGAGAAGAGAGATGGGACAGACGGCAGAGGATCGAGCACGCGTCTTGTGATCCCGTGTCCCGTGTCCCGTGTGGCAATGCCAATTGCCAATTGCCAATGCATGAGACCATATATTGCCATATTCCCTGCCTGGTGTTTTTATTTATTATTTATCTATTTATTTATTGTGCTGCTTACTCAAAGTATACTATTTATATTTATATACAGTGGATTTGGATAGTAATGTTTTATCTATTGCACTGCCCTGTTCTTCATCATTATTTTCAATAGTACTTTTCAGCGAACTAACAGTGTTTTATCTCACAACGAATCAGCATAAACAACAGTATAAACCAAATTTGACCAAATGATCCGATTTGCAAACTTTGCGGGACAGACCATGAGAGCCGGGGCTGTGTGTGTTGCCGTGCGTGGTGTATTCTTGTCTTGGATTCCAGACTCCAGTGATGATGGCAGCCGGGGCTTCAGGGGCTGGGCTGCGTTTCATCATCAAACCAAAGATCCGATCCCTAGCGTGCCGTCCCTCTCCGTCTCCGTCTCCTATCCGCCCCCAAATTAAATCCTGCTGCTGTCATGCTCGCCTTTTCTATTCCTTGGCTGCCGATGCATGATGCTTCCTTTCTTTCTTTCTTCCCTATCTCTTGGCATTGTTGATGTTGCGTGGAACGGAAACTTTCATCTCCCTCCCCATCTCTCTGCTGACTCCACCAAACCTACCGACCTATCAATTATCATCGATGCATGCCTCTGCTCTGCTTGCCTCTTCCGATCCTGTGCCTTTCACTCTTTTGGTGGCTGGAGATTGCTTCGCCTTCTGGGTTCCTTCTTCAAAATAAAACTGGGCTTTCAGACTCTTAGGTCAAAATGAAAACTTGTGGTCACCACTGTAGCTTGCGCTGGGTTACCAGGTCAGGCCAAAACTCTGTGGTTACTGCTGCACCTTGCTGACTGTGTATCTGTACGCGCGTGCTACTTTCTGAATCCTGATCTTTTTTTTCCCTTGTCGTACATACATACTGAAACCATTCAGCAGGTTCTTCCATACATACACAGTGATTTAGTACATTATTCCATTATTAGAGCATATGTAGTAGCATTCAAGTTAAAAGATCTCCGGATTTGACGCTAGCTCATCGTGTATACATGCATTAATCTTCTCGAATGGATCGGATCGGAGTGATTAATTTCTGAATGGACCTGATGGAGTAGAGTACTCCAAAACAATAGTAGTAATCTGATCTCGACAATAATGTAATGTAATCAATGTGCCAGATGAAAGAAACTAAGCAGGATAGAGAGAGTTTGGTTCGTTGTCCCGACCAAACGGCAAGCAACGGGGGCAAAGCAATAGGTGCATCATATCGTGGACGCAAAGCCAACCAGTCAGAGTCAGGTCAGGGGTGGTTGCACTTGCAGAGTTGCACTACTAGTACTGCCGCTGCCGCACAGAAGAAGCATGCGCAACCTACTTCCAAATCTATCCCTAATAAGATGCAGAATTTCAGCCATATTTTTGGTCTGGCATATTTTTGGTCTGGCCTCCTTTTAAATTCTATGCGTTTTCAGTGGAGACTACTAATCCTACACGTTTTCATCGGAAACTCAGAACAAAGTTCACGTATACAACAGGGCAAACAAGGAAAGTTCACGTATACAACATGGCAAACAAGGAAATCTCCTACCTCAGGCAAGTAATTGGATCGAAGTCGAATCCAAATCCAAATAGAAAAGATTGAATGGAAATAGAAATAGAGAAAAAAATCCACCATAAATACGTGATTGCACCAACAAAAAACCAAACGATCGGTTCAGGGAAAGATGTGTCGGCGAGATGCCTGTGCCGGACTGCCGACCGCTTCGCTTTCATCAAAACTTAACCAAGACACTTGGACCCATGGCAGGAGTCCTCACAAGTCCAGAAGAAAACACGACGACGACGATCAATAGCTTTGATCACAGTTTGGTGTAGCCCAAGAGAAGACATATAGTGTAGAGGAAGGGCACTAAGAACACTGGCACAAAGGGTAAGACGCCTAGCGTGGTTCAGAAGTGGAGCGCGTCGACCACAGAGGTACTTGTTGTTGGCCTACGAGATCACCGTCTGACGACAGTGAACCAGATAGCCTCCAGACCACTAGCCTTCCAGCTCTGGCCTTCCAGACCACTAGTCTCCAGACCCCTGGCCTCCCAGACCACTAGTCTTCAGCCTTCAGACCACTAGTCGTCCAGACCCCTGTACCGGCTTTATCCGTACCCACACACTACGGATCGAGCTAGAAGAAGAAGGGAGAACAGAGCAAGCACGTATAATACAAGACAACAACGTTGGCCGAGGCCTTGTCTGTGTGATGGTAAATCTGAGCTCTCTTTACTGAGTTGCCATACATGTCTATTTATACAACTCTAACTATCTAGTCCATGTGCAGCGTCCATGCTGGCACAGTAACTAGATAACATGACAGGGCTGACTCTGCGTCAGCCACTGCCTGTTCCTATAGTGCTGCAGGTGAGCCGTGCGACGCCTGCACCTGTAGTGCTACAGTATCATAGCAGGGGGCAAAGTCGGCGCCGCCTTCCCTTGCTGTGTTCACACACAGCAGGCGGCTAAGTCGGTGCCGCCTTCCTCTGCTGTATTCATACAAGGTGGCAGTAGATTAGCTAACACTTGTCACAGGACATGTGATCAGTTCATGGACAATTTGGGGCTCACAACTATGTGATCAGTTCTTGTCTTTTAGTTTGACTACGAGGCATCCACTTGAGAGATATACACCGCAACAAGGAAATTTGGAAATTTGGACTGTGATGAAGCCTTTGTCAGATCAGTGCGAGACATGTTTCTTTTGGAGACAAATAGCTATAGATATCGAAAGGTGGTTAGAGCTTATTGGACATGGAGTCCGAGCTGATGGAGGGTACCTTCTGAGATATTAAATAGCCTTGATGGAACCGCGACAGCAGCTGCTTACTCTGATGACATCTCGTCGCATCATTGAAGGACTCAAGCGGACCGACCGTGCTCTCTACCGGTAAATTGTAACATGTTCCCCACGTACCTCCGCTAGAATCTATAGCGTCAATGACTTGCTACGGATCACTCAATCCTATGTGCACCCATTGACCGGAGTGTGTGCTCAGCGCTGGCACAACATTAAAGGTGTATTCAAGCTTGTCAGAGACTGTTGGCACCACCCGACTGTTGACGTCGATGAAGACAAGCTTATCATCATGATTCAGGATGATTTTCCTAGGTTACTCTATGATCAGCAGAAAGCATTGTCTCGGGCTGGACTACTCGGACGGCTCAAGTTAGAAGCCACTATGTCGACCTTAACAGATTCTCCTTCTGCAGTGGAACCTTAACTAATTTTTTTGTATTTGCGTTGATGGAACCTTAACACTGTGCATAGCCTTTTTGCATCTTTTTAAGTCAAATGTCAATTTAAGTCCCGAGCCTGTGTGTGTCTTTGCTTCTATATGGGGTGACTATTTGGTAGTAGTAATACTCGAGAAACTAGAATCTTTCGCATGGCATTTAGATCTCCGAGGATATTTTGGATTTTTCCTATCACGCTTTAACACACTTAGAAGCAAATGTGATAGAAGTGGCATGGAGAGCAACAATGTTTTTCACGAGTGTTACTAGAGTTGCCAAAAAATTTAGTGGCAATATGAAATATCGAACTTTTATAATAGCACATAAGCAAAAAACCTCCTTGTCTTTATCCTTGGATGTTCTATACAAAATAGATCTAAAGCATCAAACCATCCAACTATACATGATAGATGGGCTCAAATTAATATGAACAAGTCGGGGAGAGAGTAGAGAGGAGGGACACATTAGAGCTTGCAAATGGGAGAGGAGAGAGTGAGGGAGCCTCCTTACCCTTGTGCTCTTGGCACTATATATATATATATAGGTAATGTACGATTTACATACGGCCCCTTGGTGGGGGTGAATTTCACAAGCCACTATAATAACCCCTATTGGGCCTCTTCGAGGGGGGAGGGTTGGCCCATATACCATATGGACTTCCCCCAACGGTAGCCCCTCGGCTACTAGGTTATGGCCGGTACTACATGACCTAGTAGATGCTTATACAAGAAGCATAATACAGCTCAAACCTTGGTTGCGAGGGTTGCCCTTCGCAACCTTCACATGTGCGCCTCACTAAAAAATCCATCCCAAAAACGCTGTGGGAAAAAAGGCATGGAGAAAAGAGCATGTACACACTGTAGCCTATACATGTTCTAATTACTGAGGCTTCTAGCTCCAAGTGCCTTGATCTTCTAGATGTCTTCATCTTTGGGTTTCAACTCCTTTCTCTGCTTGTATGACATAGTTTATTGGCTTCGCTCAACGCGTGAGGTTCAGCTTTAGGACCTTCTCCTCCAAAGATCATCTCGATGCGTGTCTTTGTCTCTAGGTCCTTCTCGGCATGCGGAGGTCTTCGTCTTCGTTCCTCAAGACGGAGGTCTTCGTCTCTAGGGTCTTCTCGGCACGGAGGTCTTCACCTTCGGGGCTTCATCTTCGGTATCTTCTCTCGAGCGCCACGCAAAAGTGTAAGTGCAATCAAGCCCTAATGTGGGTTTTGGTGATCATGACCACACAATTAGGGGACTAACGAAATTATCGAGATGACAAGCAGGTAAAATCAAATGGAGGATAACATATGTGATGGTGGAGCCCCAATTACAAAAGGACGCGACATCCGACTCAAAAGGCCTTATAATTCATTTTATTTTGAAGTTGAGTTTATGAAAAGCCATACTAGAAAGGGGGATACAAATGCGCAAACTTCAACATGCAACCAAGTGCTAAAAATCCACCAAACATCCTCTTTTACCTTGCCTAGTCAGCATGTGATTCAGTTTTCAATTTGGAGCTGACAGGCCAGAGCAGCACTGCTGCTCTGCTGCGCCTTAAAATCTGACCATTGGAAAAGGGGGTATTTCCTTCACCTCCCTTCTCCCCCAATGGTCACCCACGACCATTTGCATCTCAGAACCACCAGAGCACTCCTCACCTCTCCATTGAAGGCTCCCAAGCTCCCAATCTCTCTCCCCTTGATTCCCTTGAGCCTCCAAACTTCATTAGAGAGCTGCTCCAACTGTTCTTCATCGCCTAAAGCACTTGGTTCGTGTTCAAGCCGATGGATTGTGTTTATTACTCTTGGAGCTTGCTCCTAGCCAGCTAGTGCGTCGCTCGTGGAGCTTGCCAACTTATGTGGCAGCCCCAGGAGGTTTGTAATCACCCCAATCAGCTATTGAAATCTCCCCTCATCTCAAGAGTTCATTCTCTTGACTTAAGAACGAGGATAGGGTTTCACGAAACCCAAGCCTTAGTGGCTTCCTCAACAACGTGAATTTAGGCGAGCCTTAGTGGCGAGCTGAACCACGGGATAAATCGGTGTCTCACTTGTGTTCTTGTGATTTGTTTTGCAATATTTGTGTTTATGGTGATTCTAGGGTTTGGTTCCAATCTACTCGTGTGTGCACTTCCGCCAACATCCAGGTGATGGAATATGCTCTATACTACTCTAGGAACATCAGTATTTTACCCGATCTAATTTTTGTTGGGTAGATTTTGAACTATTGTCTCGTGTGTCACCAGAAAGCAAGAAGCGATCTTCTTGAAGTTAGCAATCTTGTGCATAGAGCAGCAAGATGCTTACCTGAAGTTCTCACATTTGTTTGAGCTGAATTTTTACAGGCCTATTCACCCCCCTCTAGGCTAACCAGCGGTCCTACAAAAAGACTTCATGTTCCAGAGGTGGTCGGTCCTCCAAGATGCTCCCTAGCCCCTCTTGGCATGTGCTCATGACCCGAATCCTCTGTCGCCTTGGTGTAGTTGACATAGTCATAGTAGTGGAAGTAGATGTCCTGGACCAAGTTGCAGATGAGCCCCTCGAGTCAAAGTGGTTGACGAAGGCATAGTAGACCTTAGTGCCAAAGGAGTTGTGTAGCCCCTTGAGCTAGGCGATGATGGTAAGTCGTCATGGGTGTTGATGCCAAAGGTGTTGACGAAGGCTCTTAAGCCATTGTAGTGGGTGAAGATGATGGCAAAGCCCCTCTTGCCGAAGACCCCCCTATAAAGGTGTTTGGTGGAGGCGATGTTGGTGTAGATGACAAAGGTGTCGGCAGAGCCCTTCATGCCGATGTGTTGGCATAAGCGAGTTACTATGGTTTGT